TTTTCTATTTCTTGTTATTTAGGAGAAGAAACCAATATCCACCTGGCTACAGACTCCTTTCAGGTAGTTGTAGAGGTTGCTCCTGTGAGCCTCCTTTTCTCCAGACCAAACAACCCCAGCTCCCCCAGCCACACCACACAGGACTTGTGCTCCAGACCCTTCATCAGTTCTGTTGCCCTTCTCTGGACATGCTTCAGCACCTCAGTGTCCTTCCTGAATTGAGTGGCTCAAAACTGAACACAGTATTAAAGGTGTTGCCCCATCATTGTTGAGTACAGGGGAGCAATCGCAACGTGTTATGGTTCCTTGTTAGATGGGACCTCTCCAGTTAGTCAGTACTGACAGCAAATGACAAAGAGTGGCTTGGTGACCTCTTCCACCAGCTTCCTCAGAAGCCTTGGGTGGATCCCATCCAGCCCCATGGTGTGTGTCTAAGTGGTGTGTCAAGTCTCTGACCAATTCCCCTTGAATTATGGGTGCTTCATTTTGCACCCCGTCTGTCTTCCAGCTCAGGGCCTGGGTACCCAGAGAACAACTGATCTTACTACTAAAGACTCAGGCAAAGGAGGCATTAAGTACCTCAGCCTTTTCCTCATCTTTTCCCACTATGTCCCCACCACATCCAATAAAGGATGGAGATTCCGCCCAGCCTTCCTTTTGTTTCCAATGCAATTATACAAACATTTTTTATTGTCATTTAGAGCAGGAGCCAGAATAATTTCTAGTTGGCTTTGGCCCTTCTAATTTTCTCCCTGCATAACCTCATGACATCGTTGTAGTCCTCCTGAGTTGCTGTCTCTTCTTCCAAAGGCCATAAACTCTCCTTTTTTTTCCTTATTTCCAGTCAAAGCCTTCTGTTCAGCCAGACCAGTCTTCTTCCCCACTAGCTCATCCTTAGGCACATGGGAACAGCCTGCTCCTGTGCCTGTAAGGTTTCCTTGAAAAATGTCCAACCTGCCTGGACTCCTTTGACCTTCAGGACTGCCTCGCAAAGGACTCTCTAAACCAGGCTCTGAAACAGGCGTTCACTGAGGTCAAGAGAGGTCTGTTGAAGTGCCACTGAGGATCTCTCCCACTGCATATGCTTTTTATTGCAGGGAATAGGTTATTTAAGTCAGTTTTGTTGGGTTTTTTGGAAATACTGTGATTTGAGGGGCTTTGGTACATCCTACCACTTAAGGACTGAGTTCTTTGCCACTGTTCTCTGCATATAGGGAGGGCAGTTGTTGTGGGCTAGCTGGAGACTCCTCTGAGGGGCCTTGATGGGCTACCAGAGGATTCTCTCCTGTAATAAGCACCAGGAAATCTGCACTTTCTATTTCCCTGACAAGTACTGATGTTAAGAAGGAACTGTGAAGCTGACACAGCTGAGCTTACTTTCTGGATCTGCCTGTAATGCTAAAAGGATGGGAAAGCGATCTTAGGCAAGAAGGGGTGAATTTCTCATCAGTCTTGTGAAGCAGTGACAGAGAGGATATTTCTGGAGTGTACTCTGCTTCTGCTTAGGGTGATGAGACCTTTAAATTGAATAAACAGAGATGTGTCAGTCAGCGAGAGCTGAGGCCCAGATCAGAAACACTAACAGGGAGCAGGATGATGGGATCTTTTCCCTTGTGGTGTATAGATGGGCTGTTAGATCTGCTTCTCTATCTGTTTTTTCTCAACAACACAACTCTCCTGCCTTTTTCCTTCCTGTCCAGTTGGATGTCAGGTTGTATTATTGTGGAAAGGAAAAAAAAAATCAACCTATATCTGCATTCTTTTGACTTGCTCCCCTCTTATATGATCTGCAGACCATATCTTTCTTTTCTGTATTTCTTGTTGCACTAATTGGTCTTCAAGGTGCAGTCATATTTGAGATTCCTGGCAGCCATGGGATGGGAGAGAAAAGAGCTGACTGCACACAGAGCCACCTCTCTTCCAGGTTGCACGCAACATTGTGAAAACATATTTCAGGCATAAAAAAAAAAAAAGCAATCATTGCAGTTTGAGACCAGACAGGCATAGGAAAATTGGAACCTGATGAATATTCACCTGAGCAGAAGTGATATTTCAGTGAAACCACCACAGGATGTATGTGTGCAGATGTCATTGAAAGATATATTAGTTGTTCAGTGAGAGAAGTTCTGCTATGGAAATGCAGTCTTCAACCTGCTGATAAAGCTATGGCTGAGTGCTTGGGGCAGTTGTATTTTTCCCTTGCAATGCCAAAGATAGATTTAAAAATTCTTGAAAGTCATCTGACAGCAAATGGCCTCTGAGATCCAGGCAAGACTCTCTGCAGGTTGGGAAAATGACTTTGCTTTCAACTGTTCTTCAGTCTGTTGGGTACATCACCATCAAATCAATTGTATTTTAAAATGGGCCCCTCAGAACAGAAACTGGAGTTTTCAATTATTTTATAATAGGCCATGTTTCCAGAACACATCTGCCAGAATATTTTTGTAAAAGAGGCATAGGCTCAGTTCCGCAATTCTTTCTGCAGGTTTCTATGCAATTTATTTAAATTAATTTCTTTGAGAAAAATAACATCTGCTACCATTTCATGCAACTCCATCTATTACTTTTTCTCTTAAAGGGAGACTTTGTGCCCTTTGTATTTAGAGATAACAGTGTTAATATGGAAATTAAATTAAGCATGCATATAAAGCATACATAAATTTCAGAAAGATAAACAGGTCAGAAAATGTATTTTAAAGGTTCATTGAGTTGGTAATCCCATTCAGCACATTTACAATAAGGAGATCCAAGTTCTTTTATGCAACTTCCTATTTTCTAATAGGACTTTAATACAGGATTGAAAGAACAATACATAAACAGAGCACTGAGAGCTGATGGCTTTTTTTAAATTTTTCATAAAGTACAGTGAGCTTCATGCTGAACTATAGAAAATGTAAGCTTTAAACTAAAACAAACACCACAGCTTGTTAACATAACAAACATAACAGTTTTAATATCTTGTTATTGGACTGCCAAAGCAAGCTGGAGTCAAACCTCCAGGTATACTAGCTCCTGCAAATAAAACTAAAATATTCTTCCCACACATTGACTAGCTGGCTCTGCAGAAAATGCAAATAAAAGCATCCATCGGAGGTAAATAATAACTCCCAGGGCAAAGTGCTTTGCAACACAATGGAAATAGCCAGTGCCCATGTAGCCTTACTCCTGGCAAGAAGCAGTGATGCTCCTTTCCCTCAGCCTGCCACTTGAAAGAGGGGTATGCCCCCATTGTTGTGCCCCTGTGAGCCAGAAAGCGTGACATGGGGCCCCCATGCAGTCCCCAGGATCTGGCCATTACCCTCCATCAACACTTACCCCATGCCCTCTCACTCTATTGACTGACCAGTCTTTTGATGCCGATGTCATGGGCTACCCTTCAGAGCATCTTCATCACCTGTTGATTCTCCATCCCACTCTTCTAGTAAGCCATGGTTGGTCTCTCTCAGTGTACTGCCAGGGGTGTTCTCCAGATCTGATGGTCTTCTCCTGAAACCTGATGAATTCCTGACTGCTGTTAAAAACCCTTGCATCAACATATACGTCTCACTCCTAACTTCTGCAGCAAGCCTGTACTAGGTTGCTTTTAAAGTATTTTCTACCCAGAGTCTCCTGAAGGATAAAACCAAAAAAAATCATCATTTGCATTTGCAAGCTACCATATTCCAGAAGTGAAAAGGCATACTTGGGGCATCTTCCTCCTTTCCCTCCTTTAGGCAGGAGGAAAACAAGGAGGAAACAAGTAATTGCGTATTCATGAGCCAGCATCAGTTTTCAAGGGAATGCAATGCTCTGAACGAGAGTACACAAAGAATAGTGGTGATTAGGAAAATACTAGCTCCAATAATCCAACTCCTAGAATGAACACTTGCATAGAAACTAAGTCTTCATTTTTACAATCTACTGGTGAATTATATCTCATTCTCTCACGAATTGTCTCTCATCATGCTTGTATCTGGCTTACAGAAAAATCCAATCAGCTAAAACATATCTTGAAAATAAGACCCTCCTAGCCTTCATTTACTGATGAAGGCATGTTTTCCTCATGCAGTAGTGACTCCTGAGACCCTACAACAGAGCAGGACTAAAAGTGCTCTCTGCAGTTTGGCTGTTAAAGAGTCCCATGACTGAATCTAACTGTGGTGTCTCATTAAAACTGACACAGTTTTCCCTGACTACACCAGGACTGCATTTGGCCCTCTGTTTGCAGGGCAGTCACAGCTCTGTATTCTAAATGCTACAGCCGTGCTGCTTGCCCTCATAGGACAGAGGGTATGGAAAGTAATTGCGCTTTGCAGAAAAGGCTGTTGAACATTGGGGCTACTTTGAGCTGCTATGAAGCAACGTACTGTGCACAGCGCCTGGGGAGGCAGCACTGCTGGAAGGCTTTGGGAAATGTAGGGTTTTGATTTCACTTGGGCATTTGAGTTGCAGGTACAGAGTCCTCTTGCTGCTGTTGCATTGAATATATCATGGCATGCTTTGTGCAAACCTTGCATGCAGTGTTGCTGCTGCTGCTGCTGCTGTGGCTGCCCAGAGGGAGATAGAGCCGATCCTGCTTCCAGCTCCACTCTCTGCCCCACAGAATTCCCCCCATGCATACTGGAGCCACAAGCTTGCACCTATCTCAGAGGGAGAAACACAGGAGCCAGCAGGGCTTGTTGATAGAGCTTTAAACTAGCTTGGACAGGGGAAAGGGACAAAACTAGGCTTGCCAGTGATGTGCAATGAGATAGTGTGCCAAAACTTGAAGAAAGGAGCGCTAACGGGTCCCTCAATCTGCTTCAAAAAGTGTTGGCTACAATGTACCACATCTGAAATGTTTCTATACCAATGCACGCATGAGGAACAAATAAGATGAGCTGGAAGCTTTGGCCCAGTCCAAGAGTTTTGACATCACTGACATAAGTGAAACCTGGTAGGATGAGTCCTGTGGCTGAAGTGCCCTGTTGGATGGTTACAGGCTCTTCAGGAGGGATAGGCAGGTCAGAAGAGGTGGAGGAATGGCACTGTTTGTAATAGAGGGGTTAGAATGTATGGAGCTCACAGTTGGCAATGGCACAGTTGAGAGCCTCCGGGTAAGAATCAAGGGGCAAACAAGTATGGGAGTCTGCTATAGACCTCCCAAGACAGGACAATGACACCAACAAATTATTCTTCGAGGAACTAAGGGACACTTCCATGTCAACTGCCCCTGTCCTTATGGGGGACTTCAGCTTGCCAGAAATTGATAGAGAGTATCATACAGCTGGTATAACCTGGGCCAGAAGACTCCTAAAAATCCTAGATGACAATTTTATGCAACAGGTCCTAAAGGAGCTGACTCGGAAAGATGCCCTTCTTGTTTTGCTGCTTGTCAACAGAGCAGATCTCATGAAAGAGGTAGAGATTGGCAGCTGTCTTGGCCACAGTGACCATGAAGCAATCGAGTTTAAAATCTCTGCCGACAGGAGGAAAAGTGCCAGCAAAACCTCAACTCCAGACATGAGGAGAGCAGAATTCAGGCTGCTCAGGGAACTAGTGAGCAAAGTCCCCTGGGAAAATGTTTTTGCAGGTGCTAGGGTCCATCAGTGCTGGTCACATTTTAGACATCATCTCCTCAGGGCACAGGAGCAGGCAATTCCCAAATGTTGGAAATCAAGCAGGTGAGGCAGAAGGCCAGGTTGGCTGAACAGGGATCTTCCCTTGGAAATAAGGGAAAAAAGGAAAGTGTATGCCCAGTGGAAGCAAGGTCAGGTGACATGGGAAGAATACAGAGATTCTGCTTGCAACTTTAGGGAGAAAATTTTGTGGCCAAAGCTCAATTGGAGTTGAAGCTGGCCAGAAATGTGGGGGACCATAAGAAGAGTTTTTTCAAATATATTAATGGCAATAAGCAGTATAGAATCTTCACTGGCCCATTACAGGGTGAGAGGATGGTCACCTCACAAACAGAGGCAAGGCAGAAGTGTTTGACACTTTCTTTGCCCCTGCCTTCAACATGGATGATGGACCAAGGGGGTCTCAGTGCCCTGAGCTGGAGGACCATGACTGCGAGAGTGATCAAGTCTCAGCTGACCCTGAACTTGTACGGGATCTGCTGCTTCAGCTGGATTCCTCCAAATCTATGGGCCCTGATGGGATTCATCTCAGAATCCTCAAAGACCTAGCTGATGTCATAACAAAGCCTCTCTCTATGATTTTCGATCAGTCTTGGGAATGCAGAGAGGTCCCAGCTGACTAGAAGCCAACAAATAATGTCCTAATTTTCAAGACGGGCAAGAAGGAGTACCCAGGAAACTACGGGCCTATCAGTCTCACTTCAGTGCCTGTTAAAATCATGGAAAATATTATTCTTGGAGGTACTGAAAAATGCCTGGAGGACAACACAGTCATTGGTCACGGCCAGCACGACTCCATGAGTGGAAAGTCCTTCTTGTCAAACCTAATTTCCTCCTACGACAAAGTAACCCACCTAGTTGATCTATGAGAGCCAGTAGAAGAAATATTTTGGACTTCAGAAAAGCTTTTAGTACTGTCCCACACAGTAGCCTTCTGGACAAGATGTCCAGCATACAGCTGAATAACTATGTTATGCAATGGGTGAGCAACTAGCTCACAATTCGAGCACAGGGAGTTATAGCGAGTGGGGTAACATCAGACTGGCAACTGATCACTAATGGGGTTTCACAGGGCTCCATCCTCAGCCCAGTTCTCTTCAACATCTTCATTAACGACCTGGATGCAGGACTTGAAGGAATACTAAGTAAGTTTGCCAATGACACTGAATTGGGAGGAGCTGTCAACTCCCTTGAGGGCAGAGAGGTCCTGAAGAGAGACCTCAACAAATTAGAGGACTGGACAATCACCAACCATGTGAAGTTTAACAAGGGCAAATGTCGGATTCTGCACCTGAGATGGGGCAACCCTGAATGTTCGTACAGACTGGGGAATGAGATGCTGAAAAGCAGTGCTGCAGAAAGGGAGCTGGGGATCCTGGTGGATGGCAAGTTGAATATGAGTCAGCAGTGCCCCGGCAACCAAGAGGGCCCACAGTGTCCTGGGGAGCATCAGGCAAAGCATCTCTAGCTGGTTGAGGGAGGGGATTGTCCCACTCTGCTCTGCACTGGGGTGGCCTCACCTTGAATATTGTGTGCAGTTTTGGGCACCACAATATGAAAAAGCCATTAAGCTCTTAGGGTGGATCTAAAGAAGGGCCACAAGGTTGGTGAATGGTCTGGAGGGGAAGCTGTATGAGTAGCAGCTGAGATCACTTGGTTTGTTCAACCTGGAGACTGAGGGGAGATGTCACTGCAGTCTACAACTTCCTCTTGAGGGAAGCAGAGGGGCAGGTATGAATCTCTTCACCCTCTTGACCAGCGATAGGACTCAAGGCAATGGCATGATGCTGAGCCAGGGGAGGTTTAGGTTAGATATTAGAAAAAGGTTTTTCACCCAGAAGGTAGTTGAGCACTGGAACAGGCTCCCCAGCGAAGTGGTCACAGTGCCAAGCCTGAGAGAGTTCATGAAGCATTTTTACAACGTTCTCAGGCTCATATGATTCTTGGGGTGTCCTGCACAGGGCCAGGAGTTGAACTCAATAATTCTGATTGGTTCCTTCCAACTCAGCATATTCTGTGATTCAATGATTCTATGATTCTATGATTCTATGATTCTATGATTCTGTGCTTGGAGGCTTTTTCTGGTCCTCTTATCTCTCATGCGGTACTTTTGGAGCAGAAAACGTCAGAGCACCCCTTCCTCTGTTCACAGAGATTTCCTGTCTCTTTTGCCACACTGGAGGATAGGTAGCAGTTCTTCAAAGCATGGATGTAATCCTTAGTCATTACTTTGGTAATCTTCGCCCAGAACACATTTGTCTTGGGGCAGAAACATGTGAGATGTTCTAGGCACCTTTCCCAGTTATACTTACTCCAGCAATATGCATAGATTTTAATGTGTTCCTGCTAGTTGACAATGCCTGAAAATGAACTGTTTGTGGATGGTCTTAAATCCTGCCTGTGCATTGCTGTTTATGTTTGTTTGTACATTAAGAATTTAAACTAATTTTATGGCATACATTAGGCCATGGGGATATTTTAAGAACCAGATAATAAAGGCTATGGCACAGGTAATAAAGTGTTTTATTTCTTTCTCATTCCATCTCCAGTCAGCATCAGCTCCAGTGTGTCCACCAAATGGAAGGGGGAGAGTGGCACTTGGAGACTGTGCTTTGCCATAGCACTGCTGGCAGCTGGCTTTTAGAAGGAACTGGAAGAGGCTGCAAAAGGCAGGAATTGTGCCTTCTGGCCTTCTTATTTATGTATCTTGAAGATCTAAAATCTTTGGTTTGTTTTATTAGTTACTGTTCATTTTTAATGTAGAAATATCACTTTCTTTGTTGTGTTGGAGGCTTTTCTTCCACAGGGCAAGACCCATACCAGGGGCAAGAGCCCTTTTAACAGCAGAGGCTGCCTGTCAGCTGCATCTTCAGGCATTAATAAAACCACAAAATACTCTTACGCAAACACATGCTTCAACCCCAAAAATTAGGGTCAAAATTACTTCCCACTGAATTTAGCACCTCCTGTTGTGGCATGTGTAATACCAGAAGCCTTGCAAGTCTTCACATGGCTGGGAAGCAGGGGGCTGGAGGCAGTACCCTCAGGTATGGGGATGTTGCACCAATTTTTTTCTGGAGTGGCACTTCATGTGTGTGGTCCTCATCTCACCTGATGGAAGTCCGAGCATGAGAAATCTGGTGACCATGAAGATCAGTATCATGTAGCACAGGGTGCAGCTGGGCAGTAGTCCTCTTGATGATTCAGATTAGCACAAGCGGACCTCACACCTGCAGGGAAGACAACCCCCTCTGGGTTTGGACTCAGTCCCTCAGTAACACTGTGGAAAAATAAAGCATCCAAGGGACTTGCCAGATTTCACGTTCCCAGGGAAGCAGCACATTGGCCTGTTGGTACTCTGATCCTTCACTGCACCAGTTTGGCTGGGCAAGTGGTGAAATGAGGGTTTTAAGAAGTAGCAAGGGCCAAAAAGAAAACTCTCTCTTTGCTAGCAACCATTACATGAAACCAGGAAGAAGTATTACTAAAATATGGCAATGTGTCCTTATGTCCCAGGCAATTTCTGATGAAAAACTTAAACTAGAAATTATGTCATAACATAAGTTCTACTGCACTGCTACGCCTCCAGTTTGGTGGAGAACATTGGTGCTAGTAATCTGCTATGTTGTTTCCACCCATTTGGTTTTATGGGTCTCTGAAAAATAGTTGCAGATCAGATCTACTGTTATGCTCAGACACCAAAACAAACCCTTTCTTACCTTCTCATCTTAAATCCTACAGCAAGGATAACCTGCTTGGCAGCCTCTGACACAAAGAAGTCAACACTTGCAAATGTAGCAGAACAGCTCTTTCAGAATAACAACAGTGTTATCAAACACTGTGTGGGCATTTTAATTCCAGAAGAAGAGCCGCTACCCCAAGACTTCTTCCAGAATAACTATTTTGGTAAATTTCCAACTGTAGGCAAGCCCTAAGCTTTTCAGTCACGACTGGAATGAATCACTCATTACTTTAGGAGAATGCAACAGTCTTGCATATAAAGCATCTAAATCTTTTTGGCTCAAAAGATTTCAGAGTCCAGAGTTGAAATGCAAGCAATTCCTGCAAATTATAGGCTAACTCTTCTTCACTTGATTAGTTCTCACTTTTGCAAATGTTTTCACTGTTTTTAAGGCAACTACTCTAAGGCTTAAGTGCATCTGAAGCCTGTGAAATGGAGACTAGCAAATTAATTGCATCAGAGAGTGGAATATCTGTGATGGAGGAGGCAGGCAGGGAGGTGAGTTATCAAGAAAGAGGCAAAAAACACAACTGCAGTTAGAAAACTGCATGGTGGCCGATCTCCTAAGAAGTGGGTGGCATAGATTTTGTCATCTGCCTTCCTCCCACAGCACCACCTTGCCCCAGTATGGTGCATACTTGTGTCTGGGACAACACCTGGCCTTTGCACGCATGGGGCCTCTCTCTGGCCTCGGTCTACAGAGAGGAGCTGGGTTTCAGCATCTGACATCTCACTGTGTTTCTCTCCAGAGTACTCTGTGTAGTGATACAGCTCTATCAGCTTCAGCAGCACCAGTTGCAGGTGGGTGCCCAGGAGCAGTGCCCTCAGTGCCTGTGGATGCTGTGGCTTAGCACACACTGCATTGCCCAGACAGTGCAGTGCAGCACATGCTGATTGGGTCACACTGTTGAGGTTTCGGGTGAATTGAGTAAGAATTTAACAAAATTTGCAGAGGGAGAACCCAAAATAGATAATCCTATCTCCTTTGCCAGAGTTTTTCTTACCATGGTCACTACTTTGTACGCTTCAGTGCAAAGCTTCTGTGAAAAATTGTGGTGACTGGGAGACTAGGGTCCCAGTACAAAGCAGGATTCCCAGCTTGGTGGCATGGGTACAACCGAAGAGACTCTGGGTCACACCTTAAAATGCAGTTTGTGGTCTACAAGCAAGTCCTAGTAGGAACTAGCATTTGCCTCAGATATTACTGGAAGTTTAGGAAAACAACCTCCTTCTCCTAAGCCCTGTGCTGACACTGAAGCATCCCCTTGATCCATTTCTTTTTTTTTGTGGTGGAGTCCAGGATACAAGCTTTCTCCCCTCTCTCTCCCCCTCCCCTCCCTCTCCCCCTCCCCTCCCCTCCCCTCCCCTCCCCTACTCTTCCCCCTCCCTTGCCCTCCCCTCGCCTCTTCCTCTTCCTCTTCCTCTTCCTCTTCCTCTTCCTCTTCCTCTTCCTCTTCCTCTTCCTCTTCCTCTTCCTCTTCCTCTTCCTTTCTATTCTGAAGTAAAAATGTTTTTGCTAATGTGGTTGCACCTCTTGAAATGTAATCTGAGAAAAAGAGGCACCCAAGAGGCATTCATTCAGGTTCTAAGAAGAAACAACCAGTGCTGGACCTTCAGCAAATACCAAAGAATTGTGTGTCTCCACCTTACTGCCTCCTGCAACCACTGGTCTCAGGAGATCACAGCCTGCTTTGCCCCTGCTGGCAGATTGTGCCATGGGCTTATGCAGTTTATCAAAAAATAAGCTACAAAATTTACTGCCCCTGTGATAATGCTGACAGTTGCCAGAGAAGTAATCAGCTTGCTGCACTCTTTTAGCAAGAAGACTTGGTGGCTGCCACCAGTGCGACGTCAGTGGTGTCACCTGAGTCACCCCAGAAGCACTGGGATTATTCAGGACCCAGACCAGGGGCTATGCCCCAAAATACCCCCATTGAAAAAGAACTCAGAGCACTTATAGTCTGGCTTTCCTTCAGGCTCCAACAGCTTCGCCATGCCTCACTCAAAGTGTTTGTGACACACTGTTCTTGTGCATCTAGGTTCAGGCTGTCAGGGGGCTGAATTCTTGCAGACAAAGGCTGCCCTGGGCACAGGTTCTCCAGG